ACCATAGAATTTAGTGAGCAAGACAGACAAAGTCATTTTCTCATAGAACTTACATTCTAGTAAGAAAGATAAGTAAAATAATAATAATAATAATAAATAAAAACAATTATAAGATACATAATTATTTTGGAGGAAATAAACAAGGGGAAGAGATAGAAAATGATAGAGAAGATGTACCCAAAATCACAGGAGAAGAATGGAGTAAAAGAGATTGCAACTTGGTCATTTCCGGGGGGGTGGGGGGGATGGGCAGCAGTGGTGTCTCACTTTCCCTCTCTCTGTCCCACACTCCGTTTCTTTCTAGTAAGCACATGCGCCCTAGGGCAAAAACCTGAAAAAAAGAAAAGGAAAGCATAGAGACAGGAGGTTTCTAGATAAGGGGTCGGAAAAGGCTTGCTCTCACCCTCTGAGGCATTGATGTCTCAGTCAACACCTAAAGGATCTTGAAGGTGTGGGTCTGGACCATCCAAACAAAAGGATCATCAGCTGCATTGGCCATCGAGCGGCCTGTCTGAAGGTCTGAAAGAAAGTGTGACTAGAGGGTGCTGAGCTAGGGGAGAGTACAGGGAATGAAGTTAGAGGGCAGGTGAGGCCAGAGAAGTGGGCCTTTGTAACCCTGGCAAGGTGGATTTTATTCTAAGTGCAATAGAAATTCTAAGGGTGATATGACCTGGCTCGTGTGTCTAATCTTTCATTGTCACTGTGAGGTGATGGTGGCCTGGACTGAGAGATTAGAGGTGGAGATAGAAGAAAAGTGGTTGGGTCTGAGTTCTATCCGATGTTCAGCAATGAGATCAGTAGGACCACTGAAGGACTGCTGTTGGCTGGAGGGGGTGAGAAAGAGGGAAGGATCGGGGTGGTTTAGATCATGGGAGCATGGCGTTACTGTTAACGAGATGGGGGAGACCAGCAAGTAAGGAGAAGAAGTTTGAGTTCTACCCGTCGTTCAGCAATGGGATCAGTAGGACCACTAAGGACTGCTGTTGGCTGGAGGGGGTGAGAAAGAGGGAAGGATCGGGGTGGTTTAGATCATGGGAGCATGGCGTTACTGTTAACGAGATGGGGGAGACCAGCAAGTAAGGAGAAGAAGTTTGAGGATGAGGGAAGGGTGGAACTCGAGCATTTTGTGTTAAATGTGTCACAAATTTCCAAGGTGATTGGGGCCGAGTTATCCAGTAGGATTAATGTGGATGTGTGAGTCTGGAGTTCAGAGGAGGATTCTGGGCTCAAGATAGAAATGTTGGACCGTAATAGAATGCTGAAATCCTGTAGGATAGATGAAATGCTAAATGGTGGTATTTCCCTAGCCAAGTGAGGACAGTCAAGCTACTGATAGGAGGTTTGAGAATTTGCTTCTTGAGGGTGCTGGCTGCAAGGCAGAACTGTATTTTACTACAGGAGAGCAACCTGAAATTTATTTATGCCACCAAGGAGCAGGAAGGTGAAATGCCGCACTTGGGCCCATGAAACCATTGTCTGAGCTTGTTTTTCAGAAAATCCATATCTCATTGATGTGATGGGGCATCCGCAGTGCCCGACGGACTCTATCCTAATGGGTCAGGTGTAACTGAAGCCCTCAAGGCCTTGGGCAGCTGTAGCCAGGAGTGCATGTTGCCTCCAGATTAGAATTAAGAGCAACGAAGCTTCCCAGAAATTGGAGACCCAGAAGAAGGTTTCAACCAGAGACAGGCAGCAATCGTTTGGTGAGAAACAAGAAGGAAGATGTAGGGTCATGTTTATGGAACTTGAAGATATATAAGAAATAGCTGAATGACTTTGTTAAAATGTAAAGTCCTGTGCCTTACCTCCCTAGGAGTCTAGTTGAGTAGCTCTGGGTTGATGTTTAGGAATTTGTATAATTATTTTTTTGAGAGAGATTTTTACTACTGGGCATATGTGCTCATCACAGAGACAGAGAGACAGAAAGCAAGAAATCGCCCCCCCAGGGGGGTTGGCCACAGCACCATCTCTTCTCCTCCATTTTCCTCTTAGAATTTTGGGCATGCACACGCGCACGCAGGCACACACACATGTACACATGTGCAGTGTGAGTTTTAGACTGCCAGGTCCTGGACTCGAACCACGATCGACTACATGGGAGTCCAGCATCATAACCATTATGCCATCTGCTGATCCCAAGAATCTGTATTTTTAACAAGCAGTTCTGGGGCAGGTGATCCATAAGTCATACACTGAGGAACATTGAGTTCGGAAAGACAGCCACGATGTTCAAGTCAGCCCTCTTACAGAAGGGGATAGTGAGGCCTACGGAGGAGAAGGGCTTGTCCACAGTCGCAGAGCAAGATGGAAGGTCAGCGCAGTTCCACTAACGTAACTTTCCTCCTTTGGCAGTTTACTGTTCATCCTAATGACAAGTGGAAAGCAACTCTGCCCTCCCAATTCCCAGCTCCCCTTCCTACACTTTTCCTTTTCCCAAGGCATGTTTCATCTTCTAATGTAAGAATTGCTAATGGTCTGTGTTTGTTGTTACCTGTTTCGCCCCACTAAAATGTGAGCTTCACAAGGGCATGATTTGGGAAGGGAGGTTGTTTCACTGAAGTATCCTGTGTGCCTCAAACAGTGCCTGACCAATAATAAGTGTTCAGTGGATATTTGACAAATGGATGAACGAAAAAAATATTTTATCCAACTGTCACTAAGTTAACAGATGTGATAAGAAACTACAACTTAGGCATTGTTTGCAAGAAACAGAGCAGAATATTTTCTCTTTTACTTGTTGGATTCTAGCTTGAATCAGAGGATACAGGGACAGGGTATTTGTGGAAGAATAGTCAGAGACGTTACAGTAATAACTAATGTTACCGGCCACAGTCATCACAGCAGTGAGAGCTACCAGTTAGAGAGTGCTTACCGCCCCAGACCTGCTGTATGAAGTTCTGAGCTAAGAGCATCACACCCGTCACAGCCCAGGGTGGAGAACTGGTACCGTCTACTTGCCGGAGGAACAGACGGAAGCTAAGAGGTGAAATGACTGGTTCAAGGTTGCACAACCAGTACAGATTCAGGATCCATGATGGAAAAGATGAAGTTTTTAACTACCAGTAACAGTCAGAATCAGGTTTGGGTATTCTCTCTAGTGAAGGAAATGAAAAAGTTGAAAGACTAGGTAACCACCTCTCTTTGGGGCGTGTCTGGACCAAGAATACCAACCTCCAAGGTGGTATAAAACCACAGGCTGGAAAGAAAGATGTGTTTTGTTTTTTTTCCCAGCCCAACTTTCCAGCTGAGAGTTTCCCCACACGCTCCACTGTTTCCGTTCTCACGTTACAAAGAACCTTTCTCCGTGAACTGTTAGGTTTTTCTCACTTCTCGGACAACCTCCCTAAATTAGGCCAAGGAAAATTCCTGTGGTGACAGGTCACCTAACCATTTCTAGGGAGGCCACTGTAGCCCTTCACCCTCCTTCACAGCCCACCCCCTGAAGGAAGTGTAGACAGAAAGAGCCTCCTTCACCTACCTCCTCTACCACTTTCCTGTTAAGGCCTCAGGAAGGGGCCGAGGGAGAGGATGACTTTATGAACGTGGGCACAACAGATCCCTTGTAAGCCTCGGGGAGCCCGTGAGTTCTTGAAACACTGCCCCTGTTAATCTGTTGCGAATGTAACGAATAAAGTGTCACCACCCACTGTGGATAAGGCGACATTCATCCCCATCCTGTCCAGCCAAGACTGGCCTCGCTTGGAATCAATGAACACTCTACATGGACAACAGTGGAGCCACCTACACCATAACTGCAGACACAGGTTGACCCTGGGTGCCCCCAGAGCTTCAGCGAAGAGAAAGGGTTAGAAGACCCAGTGCCACTTCCACACCCCCGATGCCCCAGCACAGTGCGAAGGACTTCCCAGCCATGACTGTGTTTAACTCTTGCAGAGTACGCAGTGGGCACCACTGTCCCACTTCTGTAGATGACGAAGGCCTGGCGAGGCGGATGACTTGCCACAGTCTCATGTCATTTGCAAGAAACAGAGCCATGGTTTCTATACAGGCTGCGTTGGTTCCGAAACCCATGCTTTGCTGGTCTGCTCTCCCGCAGTGCTGGTAGATACTTCGGAGTCAAACTGCCTGGGTTTGAATCCTCTCTGCCCCTTACTAGTCAGGAGACATCGGCGGGATAATTAGCTGTTCTCTTCCTCAGTTTGTTCGCCTGTAACATGGGGATAATAACGTACTTACGTCACCATCGTCACGAGGATTAAATGTTTCAGTGTACGGAACGCAGTTAGTACCCGACACACAGAAAGCGCCCTGTAAGTGCTAGCCATTATGATTAAGTTACCTATCAAGTCTTTTTCTCTGGGTGATGGGGAGACGGAATCTCAGAAGTTTCAGGGTTTCTCCAACTGTGCCCCCTGCTCCCACCTCACCTCTGGCCAAGGATTGAGTCTATATTCCCAAGAACCTTCTGTGGTGATCCATACCAAGTGCTTCGAGTGCTGCCTGGCATAGAACTAGCTCTCTATAAATGTTAGTGATGATCAGTGTGGCAGTGCCAAGACACAGAGGGCGTGGGAAGGTGTGGCCATCCGCTCCAGCTTCCTACTCCGCGGCGCGGTGTCCAGAGAGGGACAGGCACTGTCTTTACACGGTGCACCAGACACTTGGGTGGCCCCAAAACTGGGCAGCAACTGCTGTTTTATATGCAGCAAGCTATTCTTATGTGAATGCCCTAACCATGAATTTATACTTAATTAATTTCAAAGATGGGGGAAGTGAAAGTATTATTTGTTAATTCCTGGTCAAGGCCCAGAGATGTGGCCTGAGAACTCTCCCAGGGATAAACCATCTTGGAAAGCTTTGAGAGGTGCCATTTTCACTGGACGAACTGTCATTTTCTAACCGTCAGGACCCCACACTTGGTGTGACCGCGGTACCCTCCCATCTCTTTGCTCTTCCGGTGCCTGGGAAGACTGTGCTTCACTGCTGTTCTGTCACTGACCTGGGCTCTTCTGTGACGAGATTTCCCACTTCTCTTGTAGCTTAAGAGTTGGACGGTGGAGGACCTGCAGAAGAGGCTCTTGGCGCTGGACCCCATGATGGAGCAGGAGATCGAAGAGATCCGGCAGAAGTACCAGTCCAAGCGGCAGCCGATCCTTGATGCCATCGAGGCGAAGAAGAGGCGGCAGCAGAATTTCTGAGCGAGGCCAGGTCGGCCCTGAGGGGACAGGGGCGCCCTTCCACCCAGGCCTCGGGTGACTCCTGGATCACTGGCCTGGCGCCCACTAGCCAGCCCTCTGCCCTGTCGCTTCCCCACAGCCCCTTGCGAACTCAGGAACGTGCGTCAATGGGCAGGGCTGCCTAACTGTGGGCGGCTGACGTGCCGTGCCCGTTTCCAATGGTCAGGGATATCATTTCAGAGGATTTACATTGGCGCTTTTAACTCAGAGTTTCAAACCCCAGGAACAGAGACTCCTAGTTGAGTGGTAGCTGGGAAAGTTCTACATTGTCTTTTTGTTTTTCTTCTCCTGATAGCTTTCAATTGTTCTTTTTGGAAGACTTTTAAAAACTATATAAATATGCACATATATATATAGATATATATATATAAGTTATAAATGGATTCCCCACTCAGTGTGGTGGCATCTCTGTACAGGTACAGTTTTAAACAGTCTGCCTCTTTTCCGTAAGATTATGGTACTGTGGAACATGAGGGCAGAGGACACCGGGAGGCCGGTAAGGAGCCACCGAATCCCAGGAGCCAACCTCACCCTTTGCAGGGCTGCATTATAAATTAGGTTTGGGACAGTTCTTTCACCATGGCTTCAGCCTTGTTTGGGTCATCACTGGCTTGTGGAGCCGTTGGTGATGTCCAGGGGGAAGCCTTGAGAGTCCGTGTTTACTCTTTGTGGCCAGGAGAAGCCTGGCACCCTCATTGCAAACTGGCCTTTGCTGTTTCAGCACCTTTCATTCCTCTCCACTCTCCCAACCGCCTACAGTCGCAGCACAGATACTGCCAGTGCCTTAAGAGGAGATGTGATCTAGTGAAGGGACAGGCCTACCAGGAACTCTCAGCACACGTGGGGTTATGTTCAGTCCACAAAAGGGAAAGGGTTTGTAGAGCTCTCGACGTTCATGTCAAAGTCACATGTGGCATTTTGTTCTGCGTCCCTTGCAGACAGGGGTGGAGGGCATTGCTTTCGTGATTTGCATTCAAATATGTGACTGTTTCTTTTTGTTCTTTTGGAAACCTCCAACTAAGATTTGTTCTCCAGGAGGCTCAGCCCAGCTCACAGAATGGCCGAGCTGGAAGAGACCATAGACATCATCTAGTCTGACTCTCTTGTATGGATGGGAAAACAGAGGCTTAGAGCGGGGAAGTGACAGGCCCAGAATCACAAGGCAAAGTAGAATAACTGTGGAACTAGAACTCAGGGCTCCTCATTCCTGGGCCATGGAAGCAAGCAGCCCCTTCTCTGAGGGAAGAGACTTGTGTCAGTTTGGGTGAAGTTGTCCCAGAGAACCTTGCTAGCAGAAACTTGTTGTTGCCTTACTCTTCAGTGAGTGTCCTGGCTGTGAAGAGATTTCCCAGAGGGACCAGGGTGAGTGCATGGGCTCTTCAGCACCTGCTGGGAAACAGACAGGAACCCACAGAGGCAGACTGAGGACTTAGAGCAGACCAGAGGGTCTTGGAAAAGATGGCACTGAGCCACCCTTATGGATGGCTCCGGACTATGTGGCTTTTAGTGTACAGTTGGAAAAGACAAATCGGTTTTTGTTTTCTTCTAATCTCTTCCCCTCAGATAGGGAGGCCATGACTGGGCTGCAGGGAAGGGCACTGTAATTTGACACCGTATGGACTTCCACTCCCCAAACCTGGGAATCAATGGAAAGGCAGAGAATGTTCTTTCTTCTTTTGTGGCCAGAGTCCCGTTCTTCTGTTCTTTGCGATTAAAGCAAGTTTTTAAAAATGCAAGAGGCAGTTGATCTTTAGGGCTTGGCCAAAATAATAAATGGCAGCTAGCATTTGCTGACTGTGTATTATATTCCAGGCATGAGCTAGGTAGGCTTTTTACACGTGTCAGCTCCAGACCTCACAATAACCCTGTGAGTCCAGTACTGTATCTCCATTCCATAGACGAAGAAATGAGCCCAGAGGAGACATTCCTTCCCAGGACAAGACAGCTGGTAAGTGGCAGAATCAGAATTTATAGCGTCACTGTAGGAGACCAATATTTACAGGAAAAAGGGAAGACACAGGTCTGTGAAAAGAAGTGACCACCTTTTCTTGCAGAGACGAACTCTAATGGCATTTTTAGGCTGGAAGCCAGCGGAATTGGAGTCAACTCTTGACAGTCAAGTCCCTTTCAAAGACCAAAACATTGAGCGTGCATACTCTCACACCATTTTATGCTAATTAATAGTTCCACTTCAGTTATTTTTTTAAACAAAGAACTTTGTACTTGCCCAAACAAGTAAAGCTAGAGCCAAGTAAAAGGAAGTTTAGTTTTTCCCCGTCTGTGTTCTTGGGTCATGATGTGGAGTTTGTTTTGTTTCAAGCATGTGCACACTTGATCCCCCTGTCCAATAGACTATTGCTCACCAGCCTAGCTAGGCAGAGCCCTCTGGCCAGAGAAAGATTTCTTTTAGATTAGATAAATTTCCTAACAAGGTATATTTGTTTTCTAATGACATAAAGGCAGAGGAGCAAGCCCTAGTTATTTTTTTCTAGTCTAGTAAATCCAAGATTCTTTTTTTTTTTTGGAGAGGTTTTTGCTATAGGGAGCATATGCTTGTCAGAAAGACAGAGAGAGACAGAGAGACAAAAAGCAAGAAATCCCCCAGGTAGATGGCCACGCCACAATCCCTTCTCCTCCATTCTCCTCTCAGGATCTTGGGCACACACACACATGCGCCTGGCATGAGTTTAAGCCACCAGGTCTGGGACTTGAATTGTGTTCGACTACATGGGAGTCTAGCGACATAGCCATTATGCCAACTGCTGGTCCCAATGCTTCTTCGTCTTCTTTTTTTTTTTAATGGCAGGGGTTCTTGGCTTTGTGAGTTAAAAAGATTTTTAGTGGGAGTTTGTTTCTTCTTCTTAGGGTATGGATGCAACCATGGTTAGCTATGTGGGAGTCCATCAACTTAACCACCATGCCACCTGCTGGCTCCAATCCAAGGTATTTCAGCTTGACTTTGCTGAGCTCTGAGCTTTAATCATTGCTTCAGCGTTTGCAACTCAAACTTCTGGGGCGTTCTGAGGCCTCACTTCTCTCTCCTAAGAAATGATGACCCATACTTAATCATGTCTTAAAAAACCTCAAATTACCTACAGATATCTTAATTTCTCCTCTATCAATAAATTTGAAGCCCATTTCTATTGGTTGTTGGAAAAGTCATGAAGCATTTTTGCATAGAAAAATAGGAAAATATGTCATGACATTCCCGACGACCTAATATTTATATCTTCCTTGTTTAAGCTCTTCTCCCAATGACTAGTTGGTCAGATGAGTGAGTGTCTGGGGTGGAGGGGAGAACAGGTGAATAAATGGGTGAACAGATAGATAGATAGACCCAGCAATCTGAAGCAATCGAAGAACTGAGCCTCTATGCCTTGAGACTATAGATTCAGACCAGGAAACGTATATTTTGTACCTACCAGGTGCCAGAGACATTATACCATTTAAAACTCAATAGCTCTTTTCGGTATCGGGGGAGCAGTGACATTGCTATAGATATTAAAAAGTAAATAACAGTATGATCAACTTTATATTAATAAGTTTAAACAGCTAAATGAAATGGACAAATGACTCGAAAAATACAAAATGCCAAAGCTTATTCAAAAAGAAGTAGATCACCTGAGTTCTATGGCTATTGAAGGTGAGTTACTCTGAGAAATACAGGTATTCCTATCTTTATCTTACAGATGAGGAAGTTGAGGTCAAGTCTGTTTCTGAAGGTCATGTCGCTAGACTATGGCAGAGCCAGGATTCAAATCCATGTCTTCTGATTCTTATTCCAGTGTCCTTTCTAGCAAACCATGTTGCCTCTGAAGATTGCAGCTCCTTATTTACCGGAAGTTTGCTCCTGCCAACCCACACCTCCACTCCCACTTCATCCTCTCTTAAGCACTGTGTTTGTATTTTCATCAGGATTATATTCATCGTCTTTAGCATCCATGTTCTTGTTTGGGTTTGGGGGGAAAAAAAATCTTTCACCAGCTTGCACTCGGACCAACTTGGAAAAAAAGAAAGCTTAAATGCTGTTGTTGATGTACAGATTAAAAAAAAAAATGTGAAGTTTGTAGCTTTAACTTTTTGTAACAGAAACTAATAACACTGGCTGAAGTGCTGACTTGAAATGCTATTTTGTAAGGTTTGGATGTAAATAATCAATTGAGGTCGGCAGTTTGTATATGTGTGAGACATAGCTTCCTCCACTGCCCACCCGCCCTTTTAAAAATTTTAAGATGCTTCCTGTGTGCTTTTATTTTAGAATTGTTCTTCTTCCCTCCTGCCTATACCTTGTTACCTTTGTTTTAAATAAACTGTCTTTTGGATCACTGACTATCTCCATTTAAAAAATGAGACTGTTGGGGCCAGCAGGTGGCATGGTAGTTAGGATGCTGGACTCCCACATAGCAGACCACAGTTTGAGCCCCAGACCTGGTAGCTTGAAAATCATGTTGGCCTCGTGTGCATACATGTCCAAAAGTCCAGAAAGAGAATGGAGAAGGAATTGCAGCATGGCCATCGCTCCTGGGGGGTGATTTCTCACTTTCACTCTCCTGGTTTCTGTCTCTCTGCCAGCATACATGCCCTATAGCAAGAACCTAAAAAAGAAAGAGGTCCTTTATGATGACGGTGGCATAAACTATGTGACACCAACTCTGGGAGGTGTTTATTCTAGGATCCAAACTAGAAGGAGAGGCAATGAACTTCTCTTGGGCACCGATAGTGTATCAGATACAGAGCTCGTTTTAGGGATTGAACAGTGATCCAGGCACAGCTCTTCCAGAACAGCGGGGCGCCAGCACAGAAGCCTGTAGCCTGGGGGAAGTCTGGGGTTGGAAGACGTGCACTAGCTGTGGACACCCAGGAGGGAGTGACAGTTCTGTTGGGGTGTCCAAGGAATCTCTCCTGGAGGAGGTCATACATCCTGAAGCTGGAAGAATGAAGCGGGTCAGTAACAGGTAGGAAGCGAGGGAGAAAAGTTATCCTGGACAGAAGGACCAGCCTGTACACAGGGTTTGGAGTGCAAGTCTGATACAGGGTCTCCAGGGTCGGGAGTGAAGAGTCTGACATGGAAAAAAATAAAAAAAATTTAAAAAATTCAAAAAAAAAAAAAAAGAGTCTGACATGGGATCACCTGGGACTCTGTCCCCAGTTTTGTGTGAAGCCAGGCCAGGCACTACCCAGCATTCAGAGTGGGGCATCAGGGTTCTGCCCTTTTATGACCCATCCTTATCCAAGAGTATCTTCGGCCTGACTTTGGGTCCCCTTGGTCTTAAAAGCTCACCCCACAGCAGGGAGGGAACATTTATCCTGAAAGGGAAGTACAGGTCTTCTGAGTCAAATGACTGTACAGTATTTAATAGTTTCGTTTGTCTGCGTAACTGACATGCTACCCAGCCAGCTTTCCTAGGATGGGGCGATGTGTGTGGCTACCGTTGCTGAATTTACTCAGCTCACTCCCTGAAACGTTAGGTTTACCTCCCTGACTATTGCCAGCATTGGTGACAGGTGCTCCCCGTTGGTCAGACTGGAAATCTGTGGCCAGAAGGAGAGAAGGAGGGATGAACTAAGCTTACACTTACTAAGCACGTGCATGCCAGGCATAATACCGAGCCTTTTAGATTAGTGCACTGTTTTCCTCTGAGACGCTGAGATATACAGCAGTGCCCCCTTTCTATTGCCTTGTGAATCCTGCAATCACAAAGCGGTGCAGTACTGCCTACTCAGAGGTCTGGAAGTACATAGGAATGTTTTGTTGGGACAGGGGTTGAGGGGCCCTACCAGCAATTATTTAATGGGGCTGAGGCAGCTTTGCTACATGTCCTACAGTGCATCCTGGATTGGCCCCACATCACACACAACTGTCCTGAGTCCAGCACAATGCTCCAGTGTCCCAGCAGATAGGTATTTTGGTAAAATACTGGTTTATAAACATCTGATACTAAAGCCTAACTAATTTACATCTAAATGCAAAGTACTTTGGGCAGGCTTTTGCTATTCATTTTTCCAAGAATAAACTATTGGGTTGTCAGAAAAAGTCATGACATGTTTTTAATCTATGCAAAAAGGCATCATGACTTTTCCGACCACCCAATATGGAGAAATGGAGAGACCCTTGTAGTTGGTTTTCATTGGATCTTTTACCATGAGTTCTCTGTTTCAGAAAATCACACCATTTATGGCGGTGATGCTCATGGTCTCTGGGTCACTAGAGCTACAGCGTCAAGGTTCACTTCGTTTCCGGCTTCTCTATTCAGAGATTCTGTGTGACACATCAACAAGTAAATGACAATTTCACAGAACGAAGAAGTGGAGGAAAAGGGTAATGGGACTGAGTAATATATGTGCACACACGTGTGTGTGTGTGTGTGTGTGTGTGTGTGTGGTATTCTACAGAAAAGAGAATGAACTAACTATAGCTATGTGGGAAAAAGCAAAGACCAACCAAATGAAAAAAGCAAAGACTGTTTATTCCAGGCTGGTTATATCAAGGGAGCCAGCAGCTAAGGGCTGAGTTCAAAGCTCGGGGAGAAATTGGTAATAGCCACACTCAGAGCCACGTCCTTCCGTGGTACTGGGGTTAAGTTTGCCAAACGAAGTGATAATGGTAGATGTGGTACCAGGTGAGTACAGTCCTGCATTAGACCTGAGTTTGAATCCTTGATTCACCACTTGTTAACTCTCTTGACTGTGGGCCTTGATTTTCTCATCTGTTCAATTATAATCATCATATTTTGTTATAGTGTCTTGCTGGGCCACTGTAAAACGTATGTAAAATAATTGGTGTGAAACCACTTTGTAAACTGGAGCGTGCCAGTGGAGGGTGGCATGTTGTCCACATGTCTAATTTCAGCCAAGCCAGTGGCTCACCTTCACTGTGATCCTACCCAGTCTTGTCTTTTTTTTTTTTTTTTTTTGGTGGGGGGGACTCATGTTTTTCAAGAGTTAGATTCTACTGTGTGCAAACAAAGATTCCTAAGTGATACAGAAATTGGGACTGGAGGGCCCAGCAGATGGCATAATGGTTTCATCACTGGACTCCCATGTAGTCAGATCGCAGTTTGAATCCCAGACCTGGCGACTTGAAACGCACCAGGTGCGTGTGTGTGCATGCCCATCATCCTGAGAGGAGAATGGAGGAGACGTGACTGTAGCGTGGCCATCCCCCCTGAGGAGTGGTTTCTTGCTTTCTGTCTTTGTCTCTGTCTCTCCGGTGAGCGCATTTACCCTATCTCTCTCAAAACAAAAAACAGAAACACATTGGAACTGGAGTGGAGATGTAGACATAGCCTCTGGGAAATGTGGGGTATTCAAAGATATTAGGCTGTGATGGGGTGAAACCTGTGAGGTCATTGCTTGTGCTGTTGCCTGGGAAACCAGCAAACTATGGGATGCAATGGGAAGGAGCTATTTCTTGTATGACTTGCTGTCATTTGACCACTGAGGATGTGGCCTGCAAAGAAAGGGCAGCATCTGTCACAGTTCAGTTTTAAGGAAGTGAGGGAATGCCCAGGCTGAGTGATACAATGTTTTGTTTCTACCTAGAATAATGGACAGTCAACAAAGCATGCCCAAATGCTTTTATGGGAGAGGTTGCACAGAATGAAATGTAGGTAATTTCCATGGCCATGGTGAAAGAACCTCTTAACAGCTTGCTGTAGAGCTGAGTTCTCTAAATACCAAAATTGGAGACTGGTTTTGCAGGTTGCCAAATTCACAGCTCTGCTACACTTTTATGATAGGCATTGAACCAGTGGGATTATGACAAGTGGAATGATCTTATGAGCGGATGTGGGGGACACCCAGGCCTCCAAAACAATGGGTGCAAGGAGCTCACACCCTTCTTTATAGAGGGAAGCTCCCAACTTCCTGCTTGCCCCATCCCTCAAGGCTGCCTGGCTGGAAGGCAGGGGTCAGTTTGGCCTAGAGGGTAAAAATGACATCCTTCGTAGGAAAGAATCTTGCACCCTCAGAGAGCTGCAGAAGCTTGTTGATTGATACCATCAGAAATTTTGGGAATATTTGTGGGAATGGATTTTTGTGGAGCTTGATAAAAGCAGGGGGAAATTAATTTTGGACCAGGCTGATCTTCCTGATATGGGTTCACTTACTAGGGATTTGTGCTGTTGTCCCCAATAGCTGGCTGGGCTCTAACAATTTGATGAGTTGGCCGGTACAACTCTGGACCAAATGCTGGCTTACAGGAAATGAAACTGAAATACCCCAAATCCCTTGGCATCATGTAGAGGGAAGGATTTACAGACTTCTGAAGACAGGATGCTGTATTGGATCGATTTTGTGCCACCTTCCCAGGGAAGCCCACACACTACCCCTGCTTTGAGGAGAGTCTACACCAGGAACGCTGGGTGAAGGGACTGCCATTTGAAATGAGTTCCCTGCTCTCAGAGGGCAGGCAGAATGCAAAGGTGTGGGAGGTGTTGCTATTTAATCTCCAAAATCAAATGGAAAGGATCCTCAACCTTCGGCAGGCTCAGAGGGACACAAGAACTCATGGGATAGGGCCTATAAAGTTAAAGGGAACCCACTGGAATCTTGATAGGATAACCAGCAAAACATACAAAGCAGAGCGAAGAAACCCAGAAACTCTAGTTCTGGCAAAAAGAAATGCCGACTTGAGCTTCCATGGCAGGTACAGATCCTCACCCCACAGCGGGCTGAGTTCCTTTTCCTGGAGGACGGGTCACTTGCCTCTGAGGAAGTACTCTGCTGTCTTACTGCATGAGTGTCAGGGAAGTAGTTCTCTTGCCTTCCCCAAAAGGATGTGTGGCCGTTTACCAGGGCAGCTGGGCACTGGAGAAAGGGCAATACCCAAACCTTTCAAAGAATCTTGGATAGAGACTTGGCGCTAATACCAATTTCTTGGGTCCAAGAGTACCTCTGTACAACTACCTATTCTGTCAAAAATAGTGATTCGACCTTTGCCCATGACATTGGCTCTCTAGTGTCATCTCCTTTCTGAATGGTAGTTGGAAAAGAGCCCCACAGTGACTTGACACATGGAGTAAAGGCCATTATGATGGAAAAGACCCATTGAATCCAACTGAACAACTATTTCAAAGTAGGAAATTCAACAGTGGTGGGCTAGACCGGCAACCTAGTGGTCAAGGCAGCTGGATCCCGCATGGCTGATTGTGGTTTGAATCCCAGCTCTGACAGCTTGAAAAGCACACTGGGGAGACCTACAGGTGGCATGGCGGTTAGGGGTGCTGGACTCCCACATGGCTGACCACGGTTCAAGTCCTGGACCTGGTGGCTTGCCTTCTCACTTTTCCTCTCTCGCTCACTCTCATTCTGTCCCTCTCTGGTA